GCTCTTTGTCATGAAAGTATCTTATTTCTCCATCAATTTTGAAAGATAGTTTTGCAGAGTACATCAATCTGGGTTGGAGGCTGTTTTCCTTGGGGCTTGAAATACGTCACTGAAAGCTCCTCTTGCCTTGAGGGTTTGCATTGAGAAGTCTGCTGTGATTCTGGTTGGCTTTCCTTTGTATGAGATTTGTTTCTTTTCTCTAAGTGCTTGTAGAATTTTGTTCTTCTGTTGGATTTCTGGAATCCTAACTATTATATGCCTATGTATAGATATTTTTTTGATGAAGGCTAGTTGGAGTCCTATTGATAGGGAAAAGTTTTAGGTAACTTATTAGATTGAATATTTAGGTAGTTGTAGAAGCAAAATAAGTAATGTGATCCTTTAAGATTTGCTTTTCCTGTAACTCATTGTTTAAGGTGATAGTAATCTGACTCTTTATCCAATAACTTAATTAACCTAACAAAGTTGCGATGGCTGGGTGAATTTACAATGTATATGTGCTTATCTTGTGTCTGTGACTTGTAAATAGGAACTGGAATTGTATTTACACATCAAAGACCACTAGGGATGAGATAATGACTATAAAGGATATAAAAAGGGAAACCCTGAACAAAGGGGCACACGGATGTTAACTAGACTGATTTCTGGTGGTCCTGCCCACTTGCAAGTAGAAATTTTATTATTTTACCTGAATTCTGTGTCTCTGTGTCTGTCTGTCTGTCTGTCTGTCTTTCTTTCTTTCCTTCCTTCCTTCTTTTTTTTGGTACCAGGAATCAAACTTGGGACCTTGCGCTTGAGAGGCAGGTGATGGAACCACTGAGCTAAATCCCCGGCCCTCCATGTATTTCTTTCCGAGATTTCTGGAACATTTGGTTCCCTGACCGGGAATCGGGAATGAAATAGCCCTTTTGGGTATTGGCCCGAACCCCACCGGAGAGAGCAGCTCTCCTTCTCCTCAAGAGGAAAGGTGCACCCCTGAGACTAATTTCCTAGGCTCCCCAACAGGATACAGAGACCCGCTCTCTGGCTGAGGTTCATCTGAACCTGAGACAGAAGATGACAGAAGGAGGACTGCTGCTCTTGTTGTCTCGTCTGTCTCTGTCCTTTGCTGTGTGAGAAACCCCAGGAAACCCCCTTGTCATTAACTTTTGGTTTCACTTTGTGAATTTGTACTTTGTGATTTGGGGCAAATACAGTGCAGGGGCCTGATTACTCCTTGTGCTTTGCCACTTGGGAAGATATCTCCTCCCATTTGTTTTAGTTCACTTTGTGAACTTTGGGCAAAAATAGTGCAGGGGCCTGATCACCCCTTGTGCGTTGCCATTTGGGGAGGTAGCTTCTTTCATTTGTTTTGGTTATGGTTAGGGGGTCACCGGGAGGGAATGTGATAACTTCTGAACAAATGTGTGAGTGAAAGAATTCTGGATAGGAGAGTGCGTAGAACGAGCTATGGAACAAGACAGAGGGAGGAAGCAGTTGTGCTTAAAGAGTCTTCTCGGAGTCGTAGAATTTGTGTGTGGTTGCCTTTAACAAAGGCATAACAGTGAGCTCAGGCGACAGCCCACCTTAGTCTGAACAGACCTTAAAGTGGCCGAGAAGCCTGGAACCAGGCAAGTGAGCGAGTGATCCCCACCTTTGTCTTGCGTCTCCGTACAAGGGTACCCATATATGCACCAACACTCTGATCAGCCGATCGTGGGGACAGAAACATCTCGTCCTACTGTTTTGGAATGCATGCTTAGGAATTTTAAGAAAGGTTTTACTTGGAAATTATGGTATTAAGATAAAACCCCAAAATGTAGAACATTTTGTGAGTTAGAATGGCCTAAGCTTTGCCTAGCTTGGCCAATTGAGAGATCCCTAGATGAGGGTCTTGTCCAGTCTGTCTGGCTAACAGTCACCCCTGGATGGGAACATCCAGATCAATTTCCCTATATTGATTTATGGCTCAAATTGTGCCACAGAATGCCTCCTTGGCTTCATATGTGCACCCCAGAAGCAAAAAGCAATATCCTGGTCCTCCATCAGAAAGGG